GAGAGAGAGAGAGAGAGAGAGAGAGAGATATGGAACGCATTATTAATCGTCAAGAGGAGAGAATCCTCTTCTCTTTGTACCGGCAAAAAGGCTTCCGGTGAAGCCGTTATGTCCTATCTCTACATTTTAATCGGTATCTTTTTGTGAACGTATCATTTCCTAGCTGCTTCACCGCAGTTGAATTCGTTATGGCGACGAGAAATAACGACTCTCGCAACTTTCACAATTACACGTGTAACTCGCACTATAAATTTCTCGCCAAGAGTTTTCCCTCTATGCCGCATCCGCCGTCTAGTCAATTGGTGTCTTGAGGGATTCTGATAGAAGTAAAAAGATAAAATTTGAAGAATCGTAAAAAGATGTGTCAATTAATAAGAGTATGAATTTTTTACGTATATCTATTAAGTACACTTAACAATATTTCGATATAAAATTAGATTTTATAGTGAACATTAACATTACTGTGTCCATTTCAATTCTGTTCTTCAAAAGAATCATGCTTCAATGGTAATCATCCTCAATAAGAGTGATCTGATTTAAAATCGTATCGAGATTTTTTTATTTATTAAGATTATAATTATCTGTTTTCTCACGGAATAGATTAGGAAAAAAAATATATATATTTATATATTTTGCAAAATGGGAGTGATGAAGAATCAAATGTAATATTTTCATTGAAAAGTTTGAGCTTGCAAAGCAGATAAATGAATAATGGTTTTGAAATTTGGACGGATAACTATAACTCTAGTAAAAAAAACTGATTTGCTCCTGTCAGACTCCTGCGACAATCCGTAGACTCTCAACTCTCAATCACCGCGATTAACTCTCAATCACGCGTTTCTCTTCGCGCTTCGGTTCGCCCGAAACGCGACGTAAATCTTGAATCGCGCGCTAATGCGCGTTTACGACGTTTCGCGACGACGCACCGCGACGGCGGCTACATTTTCGAGCACCATCCTGCTCGGAAGAGATTTGTCTCCGGCTGGTGTGCGGGCGGTGGCGAAACTCGCGAGAGACGGCAGGTTCATTAGCGAGGGACGACATAATTCAGAGTTAGTCGTTTGTAAATCAACCTTGCCGTGCGCGCAGGTAGCGGGTTAAGGACTCGAGCGCGCGTGTCGCGCGCTCGCACGACAGGAGTTAAATTAAATATTACTTCACGAGAGGCAGGTAATCTTTTAGGTGAATTTTAATTTAATTTGTCGCGGACGTATCGCTGTGTGTCATCCGCGGTAATCAGTGGTTTTCTGTATTTTAAATTTATCATTTCGCCTTTATCGGAAAATGTCACTTTAGAATCGCATAAATTTCAGCGCACGGGCGTAAGGCGATTATAGTATAAAATAAAATGAAATATGAAACGACCATAAAGCAAAATTGTATCGAAGGAAACTAAAATATTGGTTACTGTATCATCAGCGGATAAAACGCGTTGCCATCGGTAGAAATTTGCACGCGAACATTACTCCGTCACGCAAAATGGATTTTACGAGGATGCGCCGCGTCGCGATTACGCGATTGATAATGTGTCAAACTTGAGGCAAATAACATCTTCGTCGCGCTCCCGGAGCTTGCTTTTCCCTGACTTTGCAGACTCTCTCTCTCTCTCTCTCCCTCTCCCTCTCTCTCTCTCTCTCTCTCTCTCTCTCTCTCTCTCTCTCTCTATCCTGACAGCTGCCTCTGTGTAACTTTCGAGGGTGCGGGGCAAAGTATCGATCGATTTTAAAGAGCGCGGGTTACATGGCATGGAGTTCATCGCGCCATATCATTCCGTCGAGAACGGCTTTGCGAGCGGGGAACGAAAGTGGTAAGATAACCGTCGGGAATGGGTTACCGCGCTTTCTTCGGCGGAAGAAATTCAAGAATATTCCATATCTTCCCAATAACCGACACGCTGCTTGTTCTCTTTCGCGACAGTGAGCATCGTGATCGCGTCGAGAGGTGACACGATCCGGAAAGAATTTAGGAACGCGCGAAAATATGTCCTCTTCGCGGAGGCAGAGAATATATGTCCAGGTAATTTTCTATAGTTTCATCGTATCTCCTTAGGCCAAATTATTTATATGACTCAGTTCCAGAGATGTACGAAATTTCATGCTTTAATCGTTGGTTGAAACGTGTGTACTTGTGTGTATGCTCGGTTGCAAAACGGTTTGCACACTTCTCATTGAACGAAGTTGCAGCGCTTCAAGTTGTTCAGCGAGCCACTGCTGATGCTCATTCAAAGTACTGTGTCACGTTATATAATGGTTCGCGAAATATATAAAAATTACTTGAATATATATAATGTTCTCTTATTTTAAAATAAATTTTTCTTTCCAAATTTATATTGTCGCACTCTGTACCGTCGGCTTCTGTTGTAATCTATTACTATTCACGCACATTAACAGTGGCTCTTAGAGTCGTATTAATAGTCGTACTAATAGTCGTTACTTCAAATTCGCCTCAGATAAGATATTCAGACTTGAGTTTAGAGTTAAATGATCTTTTAACTAAATCGCGATTGCAAATATGATATATATCGTCGTATATATCGCGTAATTCAACTAAAGAAAACTCAAATCTAACTCTAAATTCATACCTGCGTATCTCACGTGGCACAAGTAATGACTATTAATACGGGTCCTGGTTATGACAACTCGTAGCGCCGCAATTGCACATTCGATCAAAAAGTGTGCAAATCGTTTTGCAATCGAGCACACACACGTGTGCGCGCAGCTGCTCGTATGTAATGGGCCGTTCTCCCGGACGGACAACGTCACAAAGTTGCACTTTTATTCGCGGCATAATAATTTTTATTTCGATCTAGCCACTCGCCTCCCACGACGTTTACACGGCGCACTAATCCGCTCGAGCGTCGAAGGAAGCTTCGTTGGCGATTTAGGTCGAACGAAAAAGTACGGTGCACGTAAGTCCGCCCGTATATCTCTCGACGGGGTGTGTGTTGGTGGTATGAACCAACAATTTTCGGGCCACGCGAACGCCGGGCGCCCACTCGCAACTCCACCCTGACAATCCCGGCAAATCTCTACGTCACGCGACGCACAAGGCGGATTTAAGTGTATAATTCATTGTTACCGTAACGTCGCGCGCACCCGAGCGAACGTAGCGCGGACTTGCACATTGTGCGCGCACGGCAAAATCTCGCGAGATATAATTGGAACAACGGGAAGTGGGATTGATAAATCTGTCTCGTTCGCGCTGATCCTCAAGCGCGCGACATATCATATCTAATACGCACTCAATACACGAATTGCACACACAGAAATATGTCATCCCACATTATTAATTAATTTTAGCCTTATACTTTTAGCTCTACTTTAGCCCTGAACTCTCTAATGTCTATATATTCTGAAGGATTAGTATATGTATAATACATATGTTATAAAATATACATGGAAACTGAAATCCTCTTTACTTAGCGCCTCTAAATGGCAGAAAACGCACGAAATATGCCACTTGTAGGGTCCAAAGAGGACCTCTCGGCAAAGCCGAGTTAAGTTAAATAGAATCAAAAGAGGTTAATATAGGTTTCAGTGTCTTAAAAGTAGACGTTAAGAATGGAATATTAAAGTCGAGAGTAAGATGCAAACTTCGACTGAGGTGCGTTCAAGTAGATATCGCTTGTTTCAAGTCTTTCATAAATTTATATGTTCGTAAGTCTATTATAAACTCGTCATAAATATAAAATTTGTTCAATATACATTCTGAATCCTAATAGGTTTCGAATTTTAATGAAGAAAATAAAATTAATACGTCTTACTGTATAGAGAAATTCGCTACTTACTACATAAAGTCGAACTTTTCTTTCGATAAAGTTTTATAATATTCTCGCAAAGAGAACAAAATCCTCTTTCGAGTACACGGTAATGAGCTTTTCTCAAATTTGTGATAAGTACACTTCAAGATTATTATCAAGAAGATACTCTTTGTTAAAAATAACCATTATTTTAAGATAGAAAAGTAAATTGCGTAATTGCTTTTCTTTGCAGTAGAATGATATTTCTCTTTGCGCAGTTGTTCTTGATTTATGAATTATTTCTAAATCATTCTCTACGATACGACGAAGGTTAGTGTCAAATTCACAGAAACGCGTTCTTTTTTTCTTATCGATAGTGTGCTCGATTTTCCTGTTAATGAAAATTTGATTGACCGCCCACCCGTCTTTGCGACTCCTTAATTTTCAACGTCGGATCCCTGAATGATTAAGCCGCGACTTAAAATTCCGTCAAAGTAAACTCCATTTGAATTTAAACGCAGAATAAAGTTTCCTTTCGTTCATTTTTACTCTCGAAGCTTAATTCGCGAGAACTTTTCACTTATACTTGCTCGACACTTAAAGACTATACTTTACCAAAGAAAAATCGATGCTAAACCGATTACACGGAATAAATCTGTAATCGTGTCGGTAATTTTCAGGAGTGACAAAAAGTGAAATCAAAATTCTCCTGTCCATTCTCTTTCAATTTTCTGCAGAGTTTTATCGTTGTAGCATCTGTCCTTTTTTTCTTTTTTTGACTTTCCCCCGCTTTGGTAATTGGATGTATGCGCGAAATAAATCGCAACTATCGCATTAATTCCAGCATCTTTTCTCGCTTACTGTACTTTGTTCCCGTAGAATTTGCACCGGCACAGCACGAAGACAACCGCTGATAATACCCCGTGAGAATATTAAATAGCGCAATTACGTTTTATCCTCCGGTGCGTAGCTTAATTTGCGCCGCTACGTTTATTATCGTGTAACGGTGGGAGAGAAAGCGCGATATCCGGCCGCGCGAGGTAAGGAAATTCGCCGGAAAATTACGGAGCGGCCGCGGCCCGGATAGGTATAAGTAATGCATTGTTATTGCTGCGCGATGGCAACACGTTTGGTTCGAGCAAAACACGCCGAGCCGGCTTATTCGCTTGGCACACGCCGAGAGAGGACTCGGGTCGCGCTTCGAGCTGGAACCAGACGGGCTGAAATACTATTCTGATAATGGTTTGTAAACTTACAGCTTGATGAACCGAATCTTTCCGCGAGCGAGATTGCGGGACCACTTCATGTCGTCGCGGACTCTTCTGGTCGACTCGTCTCCGCCGCGCGCTTCACCTGGAAATTTAAGCATGAACTTTTAAACGAGCTGCGAAAGCGAGTCTTGAAAATATATCGCGCTCAAAAGCTACGAGAGCAAAAGTCAAGGGAGAAAAAGAAATATGACAAAGGAAATGCGGAAAAACTTTCTCCCTTTTCTTCTTTCCCCTAAATTGAATCGCGCGTACTTGATTAAATTTTGGATAAACTTTCATCACCGAGCGCGATATTCGCATTTCTGTAATGCTGCAGCTGCAAACGTCGCGATAAAACGTTTGGACATGACGTATCAATTTGTTAGTCGCAGACAATACATAAAATATGATGTAAAATCCCAACTTCTCCGTGTGAGGATACGTTCAATCCGGTATTATATACGTTTTATATTGCGCGCACAAAGCGAAAACCTGTGGCGTTGTGCAAAGTGCTCACAATTGTGCGTTTTATTCGGACTTGGACTCGCGCTGGTGTCAGAGAGTGCCTCTCGCGTTGTGTCTCACACGGGTATCGCGACGATGTGTTATCACCACACCGCGATTCTCGTTTGGCCCGAGCGATCGAATCGCTTTCGAGTCCTTTTATACTCCATCTACCGCTTGATATAACCATCACGTATGTCAAAACCATCGATTCGAGCGATCGGCGAGGCATACTTGCGATTTATCGACGCCGCGCCCGTGAAAATGCGAACGGTCCTGCGTTTTCGTGCGCGCGCGTGCGTGGCCAATTTTACTCGAGACTCGCCGCGCCAGGGAATAACAATTCCGCAGCCGGTATTGTTGCCAGTGGTCGTTTATGACTCCGGAAAATCGGCGGGGATCGCGCGGAAGCGCGCCTCGTAAAAGGCTAATCTGATTTACAGCGGAATCCGTGAGGTGCTCGTAAAAGCTGGCTGGACTTTTATGCGCGCACACGAGCGCACGTACCCTGAAAGAACGAACTTTTGATATTAAGGACAACCCTTCGGCGTCGCGTGGAGTGAAGGAGCGACCTCCGCCATCGTGCGCGCGTGCCGAAGTACCTAAACACTTTTAAATACCACGGAGCTAATTGCGTACCGTCGCAGCGACCGCGGGGATGAGTGGTAGTCGCGGTCGCCATCGAGTTAAGCGCCCCATCGCCGGAGTTTGCCTCGTTTCATTTTAGAAACTTTTTGTCCACCCAGATCCCCCGGCTATAACGATATACCGAAAGCGATCCTCGTCCGTTCTTTTCCTCCCTCTTTCTCTCCTCTTCGCCATTGCGCCGAGCTCCTAAAAGGACACCGGGATAAGCCAGCCAGCCCGCCGGTGGCAGCGAGGATCCCGCGGTAAGGACGATCGGTTCGCGCACGGAGAGAGCGAATTATTTGCCCGCGGCGAATTGCGCCTTCGAGAGGGATTAGTTTCGAAGGAAGCTCAAGATGAAGGACATAATCAGTTCTCTTGGAAGGAACGGCTAATTAGTTAGACGGGATGCCTTTAATAGCACCAGTACGGTACACGACGGCACGCGGACGCACCGGCTGCCGCGTTTCCATTGTTACAAAAAGACACGGAGAACGTTTTAGCATCTCTATTATGCCGAATCTATATATATATATATATATATATATATATATATATATATATATATTAACATATACACATATATATGTACATGAATCTGTGCTCCATCACTGTAATCTTTTCACGTCACAACGAAACGACGCGATTTATATTTATGGCAGATTGAAACGACGGAGAGGATAGATAACAGCACGGTTCAACGACTGTCGCTTCATCGACCTACTGATTTTAATAACATCGGAGTATACACGGCAAGCGTCGACGTATCACTGATGGAAACATTTATATTAACTTGTACTAAACGAAAAGTTATATTAGCTTGAAAATTATTACGCTTTAATAGACTCGGTGTCAATTAAAAGATACTCTAAGTGGGTATCGTGCCGGACTGACTCGCCATCGTCCGCGTTGAAAGGGCATCACCGAGTTCAGAGTTCAAAGTGGTCATATGCTTGTTTACCGCAAAGAGGAAAGGAAATTTCGAAAATCATCGGCGCGGAAACTCATCACCGATTCTGCTCTGCGCACGCGAGAGAGAGAGAGAGAGAGAGAGAGAGAGAGAGAGAGAGAGAGAAAAGAGAGACAGAATTAGATAGCAGTCGAATGTTGACTGAGCTGCGTTTCGGGTTTTGCCACGGTGGAAGTTACAGTTGGAGTTACGCTGGCTAAAAGAGAAGAAATAGAAACTGAGGGAAACAGTAGCGCGCGCCGCTACACCGGAAAATAGGGCGTTCGCTCTTGAGATTTCGCTTACCGTGGCCTGTCTGGCATCGCCAACGTTGTAATCCAACGGTATTACAGCCTCTCGCGACGAAGCGCACTCTTTAGCCCTTCTCCCCTTCCTCCTTCTCATCCTTCTCCTCCTGCTCTTCCCTTTCCCCCTAAACCGCGTTACATCGCGGAGGAGCGGTTCTTGAGAAATGTGGGTGCGCCCAAGTTTTTCCAGTACGCGCCGTTGAGATTAAGGGGATTCCCTTTAATTGGTCGTAAAAGTGTCCGGAGTATAATGGCTGCACGGCCGTGTAATTCCACGGTGATGTAAGCGCAGACAGGTGGAACGAGGAATTGCGCGAGACAAACGACGGTATAATGAGTCGCGGCGAATAGCAGCGAGAGCCGCGTTTTACGCCGTGGATAAATATTTCGTCCGCGTTATTGATAAATGCGACACACTAGCGCCGTGTTTCCGTTTATGCGGCCACGGGCTGGCTTACCGGCGCGATATCGTATAACGTAATCGCATTGTAATGTAACGAGATTGCAACGGTGAACCTTGTGAAGCATACTCGAGGGTAAACTGTTGCAATACGATAGTATTACGACGCACTGACGACAAAACGTAAACGTCCATCTACACCGACCTTTTCCTGCCAAAATCTCCCAGACAAATATAGTGTGCAATTCTATAAAGAAAAGGTGACGATGAAAAAACATGATCCATGTTATAGTGTATATTTTTCGATTCAGCAGCTCTTTTTCGGAATATAGAAAATACTTTCAGGACACTTTGCTTGCGTGTAAACGTTCCTCTTTCGGCCTCTTACGAGGTTTTTTTCCTTTTCCATTGTGGATTGTATACAAACAACATACTTGTTGCAAACAAACGTGAAAATTCGAGACGTGAACGTAACGTAACGTGGATAGAATTAAATATAGAAGATACCGTGAAAGTTTTACTCGTTTATGACGAAAATGAGAAAAAAGCGAATACAAGTCGAAACCTGTTGAGCGTGGCATAAGTTGAGGTATACGCATTTCCTTCTTGTGGACACTATTGATCGAGACACTAAGGTAAATATTATGTTGGGACTTGTAATTACCGAAATACCTCAAGCGCAAAATTACATCGCCCAATCTACGAAGCGGTCGACATTACAAGGATTACGACCGTAAGTTCACGTTCACACAGAAAAATCTCGCATTTTTCAGATAAAATGTAACGATTGTATTTTTATATAGTTACAATTTTTCGAAACGATGAATGCATGGAATGTGCTAAAAGATTAAAACAACGCGCGTATATTGTTTCATAAAATTGTAACGACATAAAAATATAAGTATTTTACCTGAAAAATCCGAAATTGCACAACCCAATACACAAAGTTAAATCAACGTTTTCCTCAATGAAGTTTTATAATATCTTTCAGGAATATTAAGAAGATGAATTCTTTTTTTTTTTTTTGAGTATATGGTAGTAAACTTTTTCAACAAAAAACAATTGACGATGAATATGTTTCAAAACTAATGAACTAATGAAGTGAACTGAATTTTCTTTAGCAATATAATGATATTTTTGTGTATATACAAAGTAAACTGTCTCTTAATATCAGGGATCGACCAAAGTTTCACTTTTCAGTTATGAGACCACTCACCCACGTATGTGCATGTCTGTAGTGAAACGCGTATTGCATACTTCTTTCCGAATTTAATAGCCTTATAATTTTAATATCCCCCTGTTTCCGCTCCGATAATAGATTTAAATCGTACTGGATGTGATCGAATTATCGAGTGCACTCGACAAAGAAAGCCACGAAGATATCGACCGTACTATTTAAGATGTCCCCGGCGGCGGCGATGGACGACCGAAATTCCGAAGGCTCGTAGAAACTTCTGCGGTAAAATCGAACGGTCTCGTGTAACTCCGGTATCGGCCGAATAGTTTCCCTGCTCAATTTCGTCGAATGGACCGATCCGAAGGAGGGCGCGGCGTTACTATCGCGCGGCAGAATTAAGCGGGAGTAATAACGGCAGTTCCTGGAGCGTTTCCGTATAATTCCGAGGATGTTTGCAAAATTACAGATTCAAATCTTGTTCGGGGCGCTTTAAAGACGCGGCTGGGAGTCGGACGATGTTCGTCCCCGACCCCGTGCGATCGGCGTCGTCTCGATCGACGTTCCTTCCGACGACCGAGTGCGTTACTTTGCATAGCAGTTCTTCCGATTGCAGTTGCACGGAGAATACGACTTTTTGTATACCGTCGCCGCACGAAAGGGGAAACTAAGGTATCAGACTAAGATGCGAGATTACTTATAACCACAATCGAACGTTAAAAAAACCGGATTTTTGTTTTACTTTAATATTCTTGATTGAAAACTTGCTAGGATTTAGAATATATTTCGAATAAATTTTTTTATGATGAACTTATGATAGATTTGTGGGCATATAAATTTACAAAATACTTGAAACAAGTAACATTTACTCGAATACAGCATGTATGTTTCTGTGTGCGGACGTGAACTTACGGCCGTAATTTGCACGAGAGAAAAAGATTGGGCAAAAGGTTTTCACCCCCGGAAGCTCCTTTACGCCTTAGAATTGCTCCGTGCCCCCAAGTTCTCATTAAACTCTTCCCCTTCTCGGCACACCTTCCGCGGATTTCTTCCCTCGTCGCTTGTAGTTTCTAACCTAGTACACGGGGCAGCCGAATTCAATAGTATCAAGCGAACTCGAAACCTCATCGCTCACCTTCGC